CAAAGGCTATCAGACCAGGAGAACCAAGAGACCAAAGGCTAGGAGACCAGGAGACCAGGAGACCAGGAGACCAGGAGAACCAAGAGACCAAAGGCTAGGAGACCAGGAGACCAGGAGACCAGGAGACCAGGAGACCAGAAGACCAGGAGACCAGGAAGGCTAGGAGACCAGGAGACCAGGAGAACCAACAGACCAAAGGCTAGGAGACCAGCAGACCAGGAGAGACAAAGGCTAGGACCAGGAGACCAGGAGACCAGGAGACCAGGAGAACCAGAGACCAAAGGCTAGGAGACCAGGAGGAGACCAGGAGGAGACCAGGAGACCAGGAGACCAGGAGAACCAAGAGACCAGGAGACCAGGCTCTGAAGAGACCAGGAGGACCAGGAGACCAGGAGACCAGGAGACCAGGAGAACCAGAGACCAAGGCGAGCAGACCAGGAGACCAGGAGACCAGGAGACCAGGAGACCAGGAGAACCAAGAGACCAAAGGCTAGGAGACCAGGAGACCAGGAGACCAGGAGACCAAAAAAACCAAGAGACCAAAGGCTAGGAGACCAGGAGACCAGGAGACCAGGAGACCAGGAGACCAGAAGACCAGGAGACCAGGAGACCAGGAGACCAGGAGACCAGGAGAACCAAGAGACCAAAGGCTAGGAGACCAGCAGACCAGGAGACCAGGAGACCAGGAGACCAGGAGAACCAAGAGACCAAAGGCTAGGAGACCAGCAGACCAGGAGACCAGGAGAAGGAGACCAGGAGACCAGGAGAACCAAGAGACCAAAGGCTAGGAGACCAGGAGACCAGGAGACCAGGAGACCAGGAGACCAGGAGACCAGGAGAACCAAGAGACCAAAGGCTAGGAGACCAGGAGACCAGGAGACCCAGGAGACCAGGAGGACCAGGAGACCAGGACCAAGAGAGACCAAAGGCTAGGAGACCAGGAGACCAGGAGACCAGGAGAGACCAAGGAGACCAGGAGAACCAAGAGAGGAGACCAAAGGCTAGGAGACCAGGAGACCAGGAGACCAGGAGAACCAGAGAGACCAGGAGACCCAGGAGACCAGGAGACCAGGAGACCAGGAGACCAGGAGACCAGGAGACCAGGAGACCAGGAGACCAGGAGAACCAAGAGACCAAAGGCTAGGAGACCAGAAAAACCAGAAAAAAGAGAGGAGACCAGGAGACCAGGAGAACCAAGAGACCAAAGGCTAGGAGACCAGGAGACCAGGAGACCAAGAGACCAGGAGACCAGGAGACCAGGAGACCAGGAGACCAGGAGAACCAAGAGACCAAAGGCTAGGAGACCAGGAGACCAGGAGAGACCAGGAGACCAGGAGACCAGGAGAACCAAGAGACCAAAGGCTAGGAGACCAGGAGACCAGGAGACCAGGAGACCAAGAGACCAGGAGACCAGAAGACCAGGAGACCAGGAGACCAGGAGACCAGGAGACCAGGAGAACCAAGAGACCAAAGGCTAGGAGACCAGGAGACCAGACCAGAGACCAGGAGACCAGGAGACCAGGAGAACCAAGAGACCAAAGGCTAGGAGACCAGCCAGGACCAGGAGACCAGGAGACCAGGAGACCAGGAGACCAGGAGAGGCTAGGAGACCAGGAGACCAGGAGACCAGGAGACCAGGAGAACCAAGAGACCAAAGGCTAGGAGACCAGGAGACCAGGAGAACAGGAGACCAGGAGACCAGGAGAACCAAGAGACCAAAGGCTAGGAGACCAGGAGAACCAAGAGGCCAAAACAGGAGATCACAGGCCTGAAGATTCTCTCAATCATCTGATGCTCATCCCGTTTTGCCCAGCCCTCGCATGGTTCAGCATGGGCCATGATCCTGAGATGATCCCTTTCTTGGGCACAAAAACGCGGCAAGCCCATCAGCCCACATTAATTCAATTGTATGCCAGAGATGGCTTCCTGTCTAATTGCGTGCATTTGAGACAAATGGTTTCCTACACAAGGTTCCGACAGAGCCAGTTTGGAAGAAACACTCATAAGCAACGTGAAATCTGCCTTGACAGGCAGACCGGCGGAGAAAAGAAATATCAATTTTGAAAACGAAGGCCAAGTTCGTGTTGATGAAGGAGTTGGGTCGTAATTAGATACCTACATCTTGCAATATAATCGGTCCTTCTCATGCCCGGCCTAGCAAAGGCCCTGGGCCTTGTACTCGGCCAGCACAGCCTCAAGAAAGTCAGCTGCGCACTGATGGATGCTGTGTACCGAGTGTGCAAGACTTGCCATGGGATCTGAACATGGAGAGGCTTGACCACAACAATCCTTCGGCTGTTCTCAGTAAGTCCAGTAAGATCAGCAGTCCTACAATTTAGAGCGGAGGCCGCTGAAGCCACAAACCACGAGTAGACGGCACTCTGACCAGCACTGACTCGAAAGTTGCGTGCCAAGCGACTTCCACATCTCTATGGCAGCCAATGATCACCGGGCACCTGTGGAAACCAACGGGACACATCAACAAACAGTCCCCAGTCAGATCTCACTTCCTGAGTGGGTTGGCAAAAAAAAAGTCTGAACTTTTTTATTTACCACCCAAATGGTCCAAACCCAAAAAGTTCAAAGTTGAACTCAGTCAGATTGATATCTGGTTTCGGCAATTCCTCAGCTCCCCACTTCTCGTGGATGGATTTCGGCACGATGTCCAAAAGCCTCTGGATCTGACCTCACTGGACTTGCGAGAGTCTGCTGGAGTCTGGCTGTGACTGGCTTCGACCCAATGGCTCGTAAGAAACCCGAATTGTCAAATCTCTTTGGGGCTGTGAGGTATGGAGGTACCACCCTAAGCTCCCTTCAGCTTTGGGATCTCTTTTGCGCAGCCTAAACAACTCATTGACGGCTGAGGTGTTTTTTTTGCATAGCCCTGGCATTAGTCCGTTTCGGGCAGGTTCAGACCTGGCATCGTTTTAACATCCTCGGCATCGTTGTTTTAACATCCTCAGCACCGTTTTCAACATCATTAGCATCACCAGGCCTTGGTTTAGGTTGGGTTTAGGGTGGGTTCCAGGTTCAGGCGTGGGTCCCAGGCCCATTGAGAGCAAATTTGGGGGTGGCTGTGCTGGAGGTAGATGGTTTGGTCTCGGATGGGTTTAGGGCTGGTTTAGGGTGGGTTTCAAATTGGCTTCCGTCGTTGTGTTTGTGGCTTGTTTCAGGGCTAGGCAAAAAAAAAAAAACTTTCCACTCATTGACCCCAAAAAAAAGAAAGCGCCATGTCTGACGTGTGTCCCAAACAGGGGCTTAGTTCAGGAGGCTCTCTCCGCCGAGTGCTTTCCATCCGGGCGGCCCTTGAACATGCCGCAGGAGGCGGCACCGCCAGCCTGCTCCACGATGAAGGCCATGGGGAAGCCCTACCGAACTTACGCGAGTGCGAAGCTCCAGAGCATATGGCTGTGGTTGTCACCGTTTTGGATCCCATTTTGGTTGGTAGGTGAATTCACCCATTTTAGATTGCCTATTTTAGTGGTTGGATTGGGATGTGCGCTTTTGACCCATGGCCATATTGGAACTGCCTGCCTTGCTTGGGACCTGGAGCTGCCGACCAGCTTGGCTGCACTCACATGAAGTCTCCTATCTCTTTACAAGTCAAACCAAAGAGGTATGTTAGGCAGTCCGGGCCGCCCAGTCTTTGGATTTGTGGCACAGCTTTTGTGGCAGCTGCGAGCCTCATAGAGCACGCGAAGCTTCCCCAGGGGAGACTTGGCATCGGCCGGGTACAGGTAGACCCCACCGTAGAGAATCGTTCGGTGCACATCCTTGGAATGTCGCAATGTGGCGCGCGCATGCCAGGACGAAATCTCAGGGCTCTTTCTTGAGTCCACAAGCCGAGGAACTCAAGCTCAATCTCACCGCGCAAAGCAAGGTTAGGGCGGACCTGTTGAAGCTGAAGCCCTCACAACATATCCAGACTGGCTGCGGACACCATGGATCCGACATACCGCGCGGCATAGGGCTTGTCGGTCTCCTGCATGCCCGGCTGAAAGGACGCTGGATGAAACCGCCCTCCCGGTCTTTGGTTCGGCCGCACAAGGCTTACAAGTTGACCTCCCTTGCTCCCCTCTGCTTCTCCCATGTCCTTCCACTTCGCAATGATGCTCTTGATTGCGGCATCCCAGTTGAGGCTGTTGCCTTGCAAGTCTTCAGGACTCAGGTCAAAAGACTTGTGGAGCCTTGCTTGCAGGACTGGATACTTTTCAATTGAATCCAGAAACCTGCATGGAAAAGTCTGCAGGGGTCACTTCTCACTTCTCCAATGTTTGGAAATGGCAAGGCACCTCCGGCCATGCCGACAAATGTCCTCAAACGCCTCTACTCGCACCCTGCGGACCCCTAAGTTTCTTGACGAAATCCTGATGCGTTGAAGTGCCCAAAGTGCAAACAGCCCTCAAATCAACAATCCAACTAGAGCCTTTTACGGCATGTGGCGCCTTCGTTGCAGCTGTAGATCTTCTTGCCTCCGCCTTCCGGGAGCTTCAAGTGCGCCTGACTGGACAATGATGATTGCGCCTGCATGTATTTCGTGTTTAACACCTTCACCACCACCAGCATTGTTATTGCTTGAGAGAGGGTACTGTGAGCATGCAAGTCGAGATCAGCTAGACATCTGCAAACCATTGTCATGATTACTTGGGAGCGCACTTGTCATCATCATCATCATCATCATCATGATCATGATCATGATCATGATCATGATCATCATCATCATCATCATCATCATCATCATCATCATCATCATCATCATCATCATCACCATCATCATTCATCATCATCATTCATCACCATCACCATCACCATCACCATCATCATCATCATCATCATCATCATCATCATCATCATCATCATCATCATCATCATCATCATCATCATCATCATTCATCACCATCATCACCATCATCATCATCATCATCATCATCATCATTCATCATCATCTCAATCGTCATCTTGGCACTGGCACAGTCATTGCCGTCACCATCACCACCATCATCACCATCGCCATCACCAGCACCATCGCCATCCTCACCATCGCCATCCTCACCATCGCCATCCTCACCATTGCCATCGCCATCACCCACATCATCATCATCATTATCAACATCCTCATCATCATCATCATCATTCATCATCATCTCAATCGTCATCTTGGCACTGGCACAGTCATTGCCGTCACCATCACCACCATCATCACCATCGCCATCACCAGCACCATCGCCATCCTCACCATCGCCATCCTCACCATCGCCATCCTCACCATTGCCATCGCCATCACCCACATCATCATCATCATTATCAACATCCTCATCCTCATTAATCATCATCATCATCATCATCATCGTCATCATCATCATCATCATCAGCAGCATCAACAACGTCAACATCATCAACAACGACAACAAGACAAATAATACTAACAATAATAAGAATAATAACGATAAATATCAACAATAATAAGAATAATAATACATGAATCAATAATAAATAAATAATAATAAGAAAGTAAATAAGTAAATAAATAAACAACTGAATATATAAATAAACAAAACCAAAAAAACGTAAATAAATAAATACCTAATAAAATAAATGGCATAAATGGAAAATAAATTCATATCAATGGTAATAACAATAATACTAAGAACAACAATGGCAATAAAGGTAATAACAATAATAATAACAATAATAACACCAACAATGAACAAAACACAACATGATAATCATGATAATAATAATAAAAATAACCATCAGCATCAACATCATACTCATTCTAGTCATACTCATGCTCATGCTCATACACATACTCATAATACGAGGTACAATTGCCTGCAGTGCAGGTGCATGTAGCGGACGCAGTACCACATGACATGCAAGTGGGATACAGTCAGTTGTCAGTTCAGTAAACTGTCCAGGTTGAGCTTGACTACGGCTCAATAAGGGCGAAAAGGGCGCCTGGATGTGGACGAACTCGCCCAGAGATGGGTCCAGGGTGAAGCGGTGCACGCCATGACCTGCACGTTGCGCTTATGTTTTTTCAGAAATCAGTGGTCGACCGAATTGGAAGCCAAGGGGTACTTGCAACACTGCCCGAAAGGGAAGAAAAAGCGCCTGTGATTGTCTGATCCAAACCTGGCTCAGGCTGCTATGTCCATCTTCAAATCGAAAGTCAACTGGAGATCCGTTCGACCTGCCGTTCGATGTTTCACGTGTTTGGCCTTTAAACGTGATGACCAGCTCAGTGGCGGCGCCGTACATACAGTAGCCGGCCACCATGATGTCATTCCCTGTCCGCAGAATGTCATCCACCTTGTTTCAAAAAAAAAAGGATACCGCCGAGCCAAGAAAGCAACCAAGCCAGCAAGGAACCAAGCAAGCAAGCAAGGAACCAAGCAAGCAAGCAAGCAAGAGCAATCAAAAGCAAGCAAGCAAGCAAGCAAGCAAGCAAGCAAGCAAGCAAGCAAGCACGCAAGCCAGCAAGCAAGCAAGCAAGCAAGCAAGCGAGCGAGCCAGCAAGCAAGCAAGCAAGCAAGGAACCAAGCAAGCAAGCAAGGAACCAAGCAAGCAAGCAAGCAAGCAAGCAAGCAAGCAAGAGCAATCAAAAGCAAGCAAGCAAGCAAGCAAGCAAGCAAGCACGCAAGCCAGCAAGCAAGCGAGCAAGCAAGCGAGCGAGCCAGCAAGCAAGCGAGCAAGTAAGAGCAAGCGAGCAAGCAGGAGCAAGCAAGCAAGCAAGCAAGCAAGCAAGCAAGCAAGCAAGCAAGCAAGCAAGCAAGCAAGCAAGCAAGCAAGCAAGCAAGCAAGCAAGCAAGCAAGCAAGCAAGCAAGCAAGGAACCAAGCAAGCAAGCAAGCAAGCAAGCAAGCAAGCAAGCAAGCAAGCAAGCAAGAGCAAGCAAGCAAGCAAGCAAGCAAGCACGCAAGCCAGCAAGCAAGCAAGCAGGAGCAAGAAAGCAAGCAGGAGCAAGCAAGCAAGCAGGAGCAAGCAAGCGCAAAAGCAAAAGGAAAAGCAAAAGCAAAAGCAAAAGCAAAAGCAAAAGCAAAAGCAAGCAAGCCGGCAAGCAAGCAAGCCAGCAAGCAAGCCGGCAAGCAAGCAAGCCAGCAAGCAAGCCGGCAAGCAAGCAAGCCAGCAAGCAAGCCGGCAAGCAAGCAAGCCAGCAAGCAAGCCGGCAAGCAAGCAAGCCAGCAAGCAAGCAAGCCCGCAAGCCAGCAAGCAAGCCAGCAAGCACGCAAGCAAGAAAGCAAGCAAGCAGGCAGGCAGGCAAGCAGGCACGCAGGCGTGCGGCAGGCAAGGCGCGGCGAGGCGAGGCAAGGCAAAGATGGGCAATGCCGAGCTAGCAAGCAAGCAAGCAGGAGCAAGCAAGCGAGCGAGCCAGCAAGCAAGCGAGCAAGTAAGAGCAAGCGAGCAAGCAGGAGCAAGCAAGCAAGCCGGCAATCAGGCAAACAAGTCTGCCACTCTTTGGGTGTCCCCGCAGTGGCACCCTTCGCCGAGGTCTTCTCGTAAACTGCAAAGATGGTTCCTGGCACATGAGTGAGTCAGATGCGCTGCACAAATCGTGGATCAGCCCATTCTAGTTGCTTGTTCTCAACTGGAATGGACACCCGTCTCAGCAGTGTCCAACAACCTTTGAATAGTTTAATTATTCTCCCCAACCGATCCACAGCATAGGAATTCGCTTCAGGGGGGACATCAACGCATGCCCAAAGAATGCAGCGCTCTCGCCTGTGCTGACGTTGCAGTCGATGTTGCTGCTGCCATCTAGGGGATCGAAGGCCACCACAAAGCGGCCGGCCTTGTCCTACAAATGGAGAAAAAGGAAGTCGAGACACGTCGTTTGGAGGGGCTACTGCATCAATCAAGCCGAAGTCATCTGCCACGCACATCTCATAGAAACCAGCTACAGGAAATTCTACAGGAAGTTAGCCAATTACCCACCAAAATCAGGGGTGTCCTATAGGAATTCCCGTAGTTGGTTTCTTAGAACATCTCTACTCAACCTTCTGACCTTCTTTCGTCTGCCTTGAAACCTGAAGTACTGACACTCTGATGTGGACCGTGCACAGCAACTGCTCTCCTCAGGAACGAAGATAGGCTCCTGAGTGGCACAGCAGTGATGCTGTGAGTATTGCACCTACAAAGTTCAGTGGCACATCCACACACAAACATACAAACATACAAACACACAAAAAGGAATCCCTTGGAAAACAAACCCTTCTAGCTGGCGCCAGCTGCTAGCTTTGGGTCTGGGTACCCACCCTTGGGGTTCTTCAAATTGCATTGGCTTCCGGAAAGCGCACGCAGTGTTCAGCCTAACATGCCTGAAGACGGTCTTGCAAGAGGCACTCATCTGTATGATTTACTACAGAGAAAGATCGGAATGGCCCTTCAGCTGAGGTGGAAGGATCTGCCAAAACAAAAGCCATTTAGAGAGGACAACAGGGAGGAGGAGGAGCAGCAGCAGCAGCAGCAGGAGGGGAAGAAGGAAATAGACAAACTGATAACAACTGTCAAATACAAAGGTTAAATTCAATGTTGACGAGACAATAACAAGAAAAACGATGACTAATCCTTGTTTACTCATCTGCCCCCTTTTCACCGACCGAGGGCAACTTACGGAGCGCACGAGGGCCCAGGGTCAGGCGCAGTGCTCTGTGAGTTGGCCAAATTAAAAACCCGCGTGAATGCACGACTAGCATTGAATGGAAGTCGTTGCCAGTTGGATAATTGAAACAAAAAGAAACAAAAAAAACGCGAGCCAATGGCGGTGCACAAACCGCCTCCCGGCGATTCTTATGGAGGGAGGGACGGATGGAAGCGATGGAGAGCACCAGTTGCATTGAGACGAACACGCATGTGTTGTTCTATGATTTGCGTGACTCTTAGCATAGCTCATAGCCATGGTTGCAAGTTTGGATCGGCCATGTCTGTGCTGACAGCCAAGGGCCTATGCATATGGGGGCAGTGGTGTGCGTTAGTCGTAACATTTGTTCTGCGTTATGATTGTGGTTTAGAGCGATTTCTGCATGGTTGTGGGTGCAATATCGGCTGCTCTAGTAGTGCAACGCGTGCACGGTTGCTGTCAAGGTATTGGAATAGTCGCATGTCCATGTGTTTGTGTGTGTGTCTGGGGGTCACCCAGAGAGGATCAAACATGTGCTTGCGGCCACCTCTAAAGAAAAAACTGATGAGAGCAAAGCGTCCTCGTTCTCCTCTGAAACCAAAACTGCGCACGCACCGCAGTTGGTCAGGGCATCAATAAAGATCTCGTTGGAAAGCACCTGGTCACAAAGAGACGGAGCTGCGTTCTTGGAACTTTGTTGCTGGAGACAAGAACCAAAGGATCATGCGTCAAGGGCACATCCAACTTCTTCTGGTCATCACCTGGCGGCAAAAGACAAACAATCATCGAGCACTAGTCTCAAGATACCTCTCCAGAGTTTCAAACAAAGCAGAGCCACCCATCCACAAAACATGCCTGAGACTCTAATGTGAGGACAGCGCAATGGTTTCTGGCCACTTTTACTGGGTTGCCCGAGCAAAAAAGTCGTGTGGCCGGACCGGACTCCCCCCCCTTTGCATTCGTCACCCCCGCCAGTGGAGTTCACTTCTCCGGCCAGGCCAAAGAGCATCGCAATGCCAGCCTCCCAGGGTGGCATTGCGAAGGGTAGTTCGTGTCGCACAGGGCCGGTCGCAACAACAATGATTTCCGGAAAAAAAAATAACAACAGAAAAGGGGATGGGAAGCCCCCGATGGGAAGGGCATGAGACAAGGTGAAAAACATGCGCTCGTGCGCCTTGTTGCAGGCCCTTGAGGTAGCCTTGCAGGCGAGCTGCAGGGCCATCAAAAGGATGGCCAGCTCCTGCGCTCACAAACTCACAAGTTCTGATGGGCCCGACTTGGGTGTCTTTCTTTAACACCCTTTTTTGGGCTGCGACAAATGGAAACCAGCCATTTTGGGGGCTTCCCCATTGAGAAACAAATCCATTCGCCTGTGAGGAAAAGCCAGGACAGCTTCTGCCAGTGAACGAGCGAAGCTCAGCCCATGCTGATTTAGCCTGAAGACGCCTGAGCAAGGAAGGCAGTCCTTGTCGCCAGTTTTGCCCATGATATACCTGCTGTGTGTCTGGGCAACTTCGGCTTCAAATTCAAAGGTTGAGATGGAATGCCAGGGGCAGTTTTTCCCTACCATCCTTCTGATTCAGAGATCAAACTCATCAACTGAGCCCGGCTCAAGACGAAACACATTTTGCTCACGCTGCCTCGTCAAGGTAGGGAATTGGCTGACGCTGACGCTGTCCGAGGCCGAGGTGATGGGCTCATCATTCCTGGCAAACTGGCAGGGTGCCATCACTCGAGGCGCCTCAAAGGCGCCTCAAAAACGCACAATGAAGGGGAACGCAACTTGCGAACTGCAGCCCAACATTTGTGGAAACAGCCAACGCACTTGAAACCAGATCTCAAAAAAACAGAGATGAGCAAACCGCAGCGCGATCCGTGCAAGCTTAGGCATGGCAGGCATGGCCCGCGCTGGCTTCGAGGGCGTCTGGGTCCATGAGTGGATGTCTGACTAGGACTAAAACAACACTCGCAGAAGCAGGTGGTGCCCAACCTTGGGACCACCGGCGCGTACCCAGCCATCTTGAACACCTGGGCAGGCGTTAACCCCAATCCATCTGCCATCGTGATCGCGCTAAAACTTCCTGAAAGCTTAGAAAGAAGTTGGGCATGAGATCCACGCTCCTGACCAGCTGGACGGGCTGGACGGGGGCCAACTGCCTGAAGAGAGCCGTACGGGATGTGTCTCAACCCTGAGGTCCCAAGTTTGGCCGACGTGGGCTGAGCGCCGTGCTGACGGAGGCCGCGCGGTGAATCCCTACAAGCCAAGAGGTCTGCGGATGCGCGAGAAACGACGCAAACGTGTGAGTCATGTGCCAAAGGAAATCACCAAGGCCGAAAGGCTGCCGATCAGATACCCCGAAGCCTGGCCAAGAAGCATGGCTCCCCAAATGGAACGTGAGAAGCACAGCGTGTACCGGAGAACGCAAACAAAGAGGGGCAAGGCCTAAGATTCCAATGATGCAAGCGCATGACTCGCAAGCCTGAGCTACTGGCTTGGCGCGAAGACAGAGAAGGAGCAATTCAACAGCCGTGGAAGCAGCGCCTGACAAGCGTATAAAGCAAAGCCAGAACACATGGCAATAGTTGCCGGAAACATGTCCGGCACTCGAAAGACAAAACTCCGCAAAACGAATCTTGAAAATACCTCGAGCCTGTCCTAAAGTGGTGAAACTGACTGTGTGAATGTCACCTCTTCAGGGATCTCACTCTCAGTTCAACCAAGGCCAGGGAGGCATGGTGCAGTTGATCGCTGGCTGCGTCCTTGCCGCATCGCTCCACAGCTCCACAGCTGCGAATTGCTGTTGACTCAAGTTTCCACACAAACCTGTTGGGCGAGGCCAACAAAGAGAGCAAATAAAACGCTACTGTTGCGCTCATCGCTGGCACAAGGGCAACATGCACTCAAACCTCTAGTGGCACAAAGCGCAACCTTTGCAACACATGGCGCAAAGGCACTCGGCTCCTGCCCGGATTCGCCTGCACAGTCGCCAGTGCACCAGCTGACACCCAAGGCTGGGGTGTGTTCAACGACCTTTACGCAGAGCTTGGAAAGATCGGATGACATGTTGTGCCAAGGCCGTTTTTTCAGAATCTGTGCAGAAACGGGTTCGACGAGCTTCAAACCTTCCCGCGTTTGCCACTCATTAAACATCAGGGCAACCGATCGGTTTTCAAAAACAATCACGATCGTTGTGTTTTCCTTCTGCGCGCGCAGCGCATAAGAATTCTATGCCTGTATCCAGACCAACCCTAACAGACTCGCCAGCGAGCTGAATACTTGCGCAGCTTCTCGCCTTGGCGCGCCCTCAGGGCCGCCAGCGTCTTCTCCGTGAGGGCGAAGACCTGCGCCCAGCGCGCTTGGTGGCGCAAAGGCCCTGGAGCCGAAGCAACTTTTCAAACCGAACAACTCATCGAGAGCTGGCTCTCTGAAGCGGATGGCAAGAGAAGAATCAGCAGGCAATTTAAAAAAAAATGCTCGAGTGTGGCGGGGGAATAGAAATACAGATTTCGTGGCAGGCGCAGCACTTTCGCAAGAGCAAGTACAGATTTCGTGTTGTGCGCAGTACTTTCGCAAGGTCACGTGCAGATTTCGTGGCAGGATAGATCGGATAAATAAATAGATAGATAGATTGATAGAGAGAGATAGATCGGTAGAAACATAGGAGTATACACAGACAGAGAGAAAGATTAGATAGGTTAGATAGATTAGATGGATTACATAGACTAAACAGACTGAATAGATTGAATAGATTCGATGAATCAGATTAGATTAGATTAGAGTAGATTAGATAGACGGACGGACGGACGGACGGATGGATGGATAGCTAGATGGCTAGATGGCTAGATGGATAGATAGATAGATAGATAGATAGATAGATTAGATGGTAACACAGATAAGATAGACACAAGATAGACAAAAAAGATAGACAACCTAGATAAGATAGGGAAGTCAAATAGAGCCAAACAGAAATATTGGTAGATTGGTAGATAAGTAGGCAGGTAGATAGGCAGACAGGTAGATAGGTAGACAGGTAGATAGGAATATAGGTAGATAGGGAGATAGGTAGATTGGTAGATTGGCAGATAGGTAGATAGGTAGATAGATAGACTAGATAGATAGGTAGATAGGCAGATAGGAGATAGGCAGAGAGGCAAATAGGCAGATAGATAGACTAGATAGATTGCCTAGATAGATTGCCAGTAGAGAGTTAAATAGATATGCATAGATAAATGGGTATATAGATAGATGGATTGGATACATTGGTTACATAGATTGCTAGATAGATACATAGATAGATAGATAGATTAGATTAGATTAGGTTAGGTTAGGTTAGATAGATAGATAGATAGATGGAAGGATAGATAGATGAATGGAAGGATAGCTAGAAGGATAAGAAAGAGAAAGAAAAGAAGAAAAGTATAAAGAACAAGAGACAAAGAGATTGAGAGAGAGAGCGCGAGAAAGGGAGATAAAATACAAAAAGAGAGAGAGAGAGAGCGAGAAAAAAAGAGACGGAGCGCGAGAGAGGGAGAGAGAGAGAGAGAGAGAGAGAGAGAGAGAGCAAAAAACAAGCAGAAAGAAAGAGAAAGAGAACTTCCGCCCGGCTTCGCCGGCTCTCCTGGTTCCCGCAGCAAAATCAGGCAAGCAGCTGTCGCAACTTACTGTGAAGTCCAGGGCCGGCCAACCCCTGGGAGTCCCGCCAAACTGCTGAAACCGCTGTGCAGAATCTGGTCGAACTTCTCGGCCTGGCAACTTGCAACTGGGGAGAAATGCGTCACGGCTGTGCATGGGGAACCAACGCGGTGGACACAGAAACCAACCGTGAGAAAGGCTCCCACGTTTTGAGACAAGCCAACTTGGTTGGATGCCGTGAGCAATCCTCATGGTGGTCATGCTGTCCCAACATCAAGGCATCTGGGAGAAACTACCGCTGTCATCAACCAAATCAAAGAAGGGCTTCAACTGGGTGGCTGAAAATGGAATAACGGCAGCCTGCAATTTGCATTTAGCAACACAACAAAGAGTGACCAAATGCAATACTATCGACATGCAACTTGGGAAACCAACTTGCAGCGACTGATGTGGGATGTCGCACGGCAACATCGTTACCAGGATATGCAAAAAGACAACGTGCAGAGGGTTGCACGGTGATCTTCAGCTGTAAGGAGCAGTCACCCAGCGCTTGCCGCTGGCAACGTGCCACCAACTGCATGGCACGAGGGACAAGCTTCCGAAGCCAATCGGCCGTACAAACCACATGCTTCGCGCGGGATTTGCTTTCTAGGCCAAGATCTGTGGCGACTCGTGCAGCTACACTTGTCAGGAGGGAAACTAAATCTTACACTCCACTTTGGAGTAGCCTTTTGCGAAACGCGTGGGATATCCCAAAGTGTCTTGTTGGGCACCAGGGATTGCACAAATCCATGTAATGCGCGCGTTGAAACACACTGGCACTACTAGAAAGTGTTACAAGTGTGCATACAGGATGTCTTTGTCAACATTAAGAACCCCACCAAATGATTGGCACCCTTCTTGGAATCCATCCATCCTCTCTCTCCCTGTCACTCTCTCTCTCTCTCTCTCTCTCTCTCTCTCTCTCTTCCATCCGTGACAGAGACACATGTTTGTCACGTGGTACAATTTGCGCAGGTGCGCAAAGTAAAGCCCTCACTCGCCTGCATCTCCGAGGCCTGCCTTACTGCCGCATCTTCAGGCCTGCGCTGGAGCAGTTCTTTGGCCCCTGCTTTGATTGATCTGGCTCTGGCAAACAAACTGGTACCCAAAATTGCACCTTGCCCAATGGAATCAAACACAAAAAAACCTGCGTAACCCTGGATCTTTAATTTTAACAGTAACAGACCCCCAATTTCCAGAATTGGAGCTGAGAATGTTGACGAAGGATAGGTCGGATAGGCGGGTACGTCTCGCAGGTGGCCCGCTTCGCTTGGGTCCCTGCGTCTTGAGCACCTGGACGGTAGGCCCGCCGGCGCCCACAGGAGCGCGTGCTGGCCAACCGGGAACAGGGCCTGGACAAAGGACGCGGCTCTCCAGCATCAAAACGCGTCCTCTGTCAGCTATCCTATTCTGAGAGCCTTCAACCGCTCACACGCCTACAGGGTACATTGGAAAGCCAACACCCCAGACAACTGCGGACACAAGCTCTGCCGTTCAGCCAGGCCTGGTCTATCATCCTTCGCCACCTGCAAAAGCTGCTATGGCGTCGTTCCAAACTTTGGGTAGCTTAGACGCTTGGAGAGCCGGTTCTGCGGTAAGCGTGGGCATGGCTTGAACAGTCGCGCTTCAGCAACAGCCATGTTTGAAGTGTGGCTGCTCAGTATCCTTCGCTTGGGACCTGTTGAATCTCCGGTTTCAGTGTTTGGGAGAAACTGAGCCTCCCACCTCTGGAACAGCCAAGTCGCCCGCTAGCTTCGCCGCGGCAGCTGCTACCTGCAAAGCAAAACATGCGGGGCCCGCTGAGGTTCTTTGGCATATTCTGGGTGGTTCTCAACATTGGTGACCCTTTCAGGTAGGTGGTCTCCGTTTGGTTTCCCTTCAAAGCATCCAACAAGGGGTCCCCTATTTTGCGCACATCTGGCCGGCAACTAGCCGTGGACTGCCGGGCTGGCAGTTCCCCGCCTGAGGAAATGGCCGCTCGGAAGCCCCTTGAAACTGAGTTGAGGTCCGATCTTGGCATATGGGTGGAGTTCAGGTCAGTATGGAGCTCACGGACAAATTATATCTTCACATGATCCCTGCCAGCGGCCCCATACAGCCTGGTTCTGGCGCCATCGTTCCCGCGCCTGACAAACAATCGCAAGGTCAGTGCAACTTGCACACGGCATGCTCAGATTCTGGTTGGCTCATGTTCTTGGCCTTTTACTGCCAGAAGTAATATGACCTGTCAAATGAGCGGGGATGCAAGAAAGCCCCTTGCGCCCTCGCATTGCTTATGCCTTTCAAAGAGCGCCCTCGCTCTGGGTTCATAAAGTATGGAGTATGGCAACTTGCTGCACGGAGCTTAAGGGATCGCAGAAGGAAAACCTGAGAATCTCCGGCATGGAACTTCAAAAAGCGGCATGGGCAGCTTTGATGGAGCTGATAATTTGCTGCTCCTCAGCGATACGGCGGGAAAATGTCAGGTCAAGCCAGTATGTCACGTTCATGATCCATGAGCTTCGAAGCCATGGACAAAAGTTCCGTCACAAAAAAAATCAACAGAGAGTGCGCTAGATTCCGTCCTGCTCTGAGGCGATGAGGAACTGGAAAAGCTGTCCCAGCACCTGCCCGGTGTTGTTGAGCAAGCAATATGCCACGCAAAGCTCGGTGCTCAGCGCCCGCTCTTTCGCATCACATATCAGGGTTGGATAGAAAATGGAAATTAAAGTTGGACCCCCCCCCCCGTAGATGATGGCATACTTGCCTCCAAGAGGCTTGTCAGCAGAGGCGTTGCCTGAAGTGGCGAGGCACAGCGCCACGTGGCATGCAGCTACACAAAATCCGGGAAAGCTTCTGTGACTTAAGAAAGCAAAATTGCATTCACCCTTCAAACTGCCGGAGCTCGGCGGAAGGTTTGTCCGAGTTTGTCCATTCAGTTCAATTTTGAAGGGAACAACCACCCTCAGAAAATTGTGGTAGAAAACGGAGCCTCATGCCATCCGGTTTAATTCTGGATACAAGACGTGAGAAAGGCCGGTTTCGCTTGAAGAAAGAACCGTTTGACCACAAAGAGATGCAAGAAAGCTGGCTGCATACGCAAAGGCTTTACCTGCTTTGGGGTGCATTGAATAAGGCTCAAGGCGGGGGGTAGCCAACAGCAGTCTCTGTCAGAATCTTGGCATTGAAGCAGAATCACTGCAGTACATGATGATCATGATAAACTCCGAAACGGGGTACCCGCCGGCGGCTGCATCGTTTGATTTCTGCGGACAGCAGCCGCGACGGCCCAGGCCAATTCTTACATGAAACCTTGGTGGAGATCCCCGGCATTCCGACTCGTGAATCTGGGGCTCGTTGAGGGAATGAGGGACTGCTCCCTTCATATTTGATGTGGCTGTGGATAGGTACCCAAAATGGAACCCTTTTGACCCACACCCATTTGACGTGTCCTCCCTCCCTCTGTCGCCTGCAAGGAGCTCTGCTGTGAAGCAGGATGACCCAGTGCAGGCACCAGCTGCCTCGGAGCTATTCGACCGCCGGCAGACACCACGTCGTGGGCCTCTTTTTGGTTGACGTTGGAAGGGGAGCAAAAAAAAAAGCAGTTAGGCGGGGATTTTCCACTAAACCACAATAAGCAAAAGTGTCAAATGTTTCCCAACAACAGCCATGACTTCAGTTCTGACACGCTCTGAGAGCCCAGCAAGAGCAGCGACGTCGCGTGCAGCACAACCTGGGTTGTCTCAGGGCAGTAGCTTGGTCGCACAGTGCATGGCCTTCCCCCCATGTGGACCAGACGTACACCAGTCTGAGGAAAGCTTACCAGAAAGGGTTTCTGCTACCTGCAAGCAACACCTGCTCCATTCTCAGTCGCAAAAGCCGAAGCAACTCAAACACAAAAACTCTCAGCCATCAAGCCTCCGCATAAGCTCCGTCAGTGGAGTGGCCGAGGACTCCTGCACAAACACTCAAAGCAGCATGAAAGTAGCACAATGAAGCCCAAGAATCTGTACATGACTACCAGCTGCTGGCAGCTGCTGGCCACGTGTTGCCAAAACACCTCACGTGCTGTGCCAACTTCATCTTTCTTGCCCCGCATTGAGCAGGAAGCTCGCTCATCGAGGGGCAGGCTGCCGATCGAGCGGGAAGCTGCTCGGTATGTGGCCAAATCTCGCGGCTGCCCGTCTGCCGCGAGGAGAAGAGAGCGTTGTGTTATGTCCGAGCTTGTGTCGGCTGCATGCGCAGCAGAGAAGATAGCGTGTGCTGCTATCTCCCGGAGTTGTTTTGTGAACATCTCGAAGCTGGCCCTGCTCAGCATCCTGACGCAAGTTACTGCAACAAGGATGCCAGCTGCCATTAAGTCCGATTTTGGTCCCGGCAAGAAGCCGTCATCACGGCCGAGCTCGAAGGAAGTCAGCTTGAAGAATCAGAATAAACGGCACAACAAGGCTGACTACGGACCAACCTGCTCATAGTCTGGCAAGCAATGAAACTTATCAGCAGCCAAAAGAAGAAAGTTAAACCACAATAAACACGGAGGAAAAGGTACAACCAAGCCGAAGAAATGAAGCCAGTGAAGTCGGCCCAGCGAGCCCCCAATAAGGAAGAGTACTTTGCCGACAGGTTAGTGACGTGAAGCTTTGGAACGGCAAGCAGTGCAAACAGTTGCTGTGAGCCAACTGCTCATTTGGCCATGGATCAAAATCCCGTAACTTCAGTGAACATCCCAATCCAACCACAAAACCGACCAAAATGGGATCCCAAAACGGTTTGACAACCACAGCCATTTGGCTTGCCACATCCAAGATGAGTAAAGCCCAGCCTTCGTGTGCCTCAGCTCCAGCTACCATCAGGCCCGCAGATGCAAGCCTCAGGTCTAATATGCCCCCAACCACTTTGCTCACTTCCCAATTGTCATTTTGTTACTCCGTATCCGAGGGCATGCATATCCTTTGTCAACAATAGAGCCAATATGAAAGTTTGGCAAAATCAGGATACTCGAAATGAGCAGCCACGCGCGCACACACACACACACACACATTTGTGCGTGCCACGGACCCCTCGTACCAAAAAAAAAACGAATCATGCGTCATGTCTGAACGATTATCACCAATTGAGACGTCAGACAGAAACTGTCACTGCTCCTGACTGCCTACGCGCTCTGCTCCTTAAACTATTGATCAACCTAGAGCAGAAAGCGTTACATGCTACATATTCCTGTTGGAAACTGATGATGATAGCATTCCATGTTATGGTGTGTCCAAATGCAAATGGAGCAAACCATAAGCACGCTGCTAAGTATAGTTTGTTCACTCTCGAGCCTTTCATTCTCGGCTCGGCTCGCTAACAATTGCACTCAGCTCCTCAGCTAAGTCGAGATGAAGTCCGACTTCAGAGTTCTTTAAGTCAGATGATGCGACACAGGCGCCGCAAACCATCCACAGCCAAACATCCAAAGCAAATGTGCACCATTGACCCCCCGAAACAAGTGCAATTCGTGGCTCTCTCCCGAGCGAAGGTAAAAAGGACTCCGGACCCATTCCAGGCGGGTCCTAGGTGGCATGAAATAACCCGCGGATTTTTTGGTAGATCCAGCTTCCAGCCTTCAGGGCCTCGCAGTCCCTTTCGACAAGTTCGAGCGACGTTCAAGAACATAAATGGCAGGTGAGTGGATTTGGATTTCCCACCCCACAATAAGCAAAAATGGGCAAAATGTTTCCCAACAACCGTGAAGTGAGGGTCTCCCCAAAGGAGGTGGCTGACATGGCAAAACGAAACCATCCCTCCGAGAACTATTCACGCTCCGGCACGCTCCGGCACACCTTCCCTGCCAACCGGAACGAAGAAAAGCGCATCACTTGGCGCTTCTCCCCTGAAGCTCACTCCGTGGGCCGGGCATATCTGCCGCGCGGGGCGGCAGCAGCTGGTGCCGCATCTTTTGTAAACCGCTGCGCAGGGCCACGCAAAGCTGGGCCACCAGGGCCTTGCGCTCCGCGCGCCGCGTGGATCCGCGGATCCGCGATCCGTGAGGACGCCGCCAGCTCCCCGCTGAAACTGGAAAATTCGAGACACGCCCCCCCCCCCCCCGAAGCGCACAAGTTCGAAGGAACAGGTGCATTGATGTGTACACTCAGTGGCATAAGTTCAACAAGACTAGATGTGACAGGGAACAACGAAGAGTGAACAGCTACGTTCCAGTACACGGCATGACTTGATGCTGCGTGAAACAGAGTTGCCGCAGAGCCAAGCATCTGCGATCAGCCGTGAACGGCCCAAAATGTGCGTTTAGCGCCTGGCATCATGAAACATCCATAGGTGTCCCTTTAGGGGAAATAGATGGCCCTAGTGGGCCATCTATTTTGCTACCACAACAACCAAAAAGGACACCTATGGAAACATCTGGTTACATCTTGGGAGAAAATATGCATGTGTTGCATGCTCTCTGAACACCTGGCTTGGGATCCAAGCCAATCCAGCTGGCGTCTCGTGGGACAACATCGCATGCAGCTGACCTGCAAAGGTTTGCTCTCCGAAAATGAAGTAGCACTCATTTGGTCATGGGTCAAAATCCAAACCGTACCCCCAGTGAACATCCCAATCCCCACTTAAATAGACTAAAATGGGTGGTGAATTCTCCTACCCCAAAATTGGGATCCCATTGGTTTTCACCCACGATCATTTCTGCGTCACAGGAAGCAAACACCAAGCTTGACACGGCCAAATTTGCAGCTTCCAAGCAACAAACCATTCTTCCTGTGGCCCGCGTCCCCTTTCAACAGCTGCACTTCCTTGCAGCTCGCCTCTGTGGCCTTCACCTGCAATCGTGCAATCTGAATCTGCAAATGGCTGGGTCAAAAACCGGCACCCAAGACAGAAACCCTGGTAAATGGAGCATCATTTACCCCGCAGGTGTTTTTTCTGGTGGCGACTAATTTTGACCCATACCAAATTGAATCCGATCCAAAAGCCGCCGGAGGGCTTCAGGTCCTGCGGGCAACCTGCGCATGTGCTGCGACTTTCAGCAATACCCGGTCAAATTTGGAGACGTGAAACGGACAAGTTGTGCAAAAGTGCAAAAATGCAAGTTGTGCGGACTGCAAAAGCCGGTGTCTTTGCACTGAAGGATTCGCAGGGAAACCTAAATGTGAATTCACCGCGTGATGCAACTTCGGCATCAGCAGTGGAGCACCGTTGGGCCGCACCTCAACTTCTTGAGTGATGAAAGGCGTTCAGACTCATCCACCCGCCTGACGTAGCATGGTGGCTATTTCCGGGCGGCCGGTACCAGTGGCACACAAGTCCAGGGGCGTCTGGCCCCACTTGTTCCTGGCCGTGAGGTTTGCTTTCTGTTGCACGAGCAGCTGCGCAGTCTGCGGATACTCGTTGTACGCGGCCAAGTGCAGGGGACTAATCTGTCCGAACTCGCCATAGGATGCCAGGTTCGGATCCGCGCGGTGTCGCAGCAAAAAGTCGGCGGCCGCCTGAGTGAGGTTGGAAAACTGGGCGGTTTGATCCGGGAGCCCCCAGGCATTCTTGTGAAACCTCAGAAGGTTGCTGACGGGGGTGAAGCCCATTGCGTCGCGGGCATTCACGTCGGCCTTTGCCTCGACCAGCATCTTCACGATTTCACCCGCATCTTTGAGCCTCCTGGTCCACGCTTGAATTGTGGCATTGCTCTGGGCCGAGTCCACGGGCTTGACACCAGGGTTCAGGTGATCCCGAAACTCGGTGGCCAAGACGAGTGGAGTCCAGCCCTGGTCGTCCTCAGTTCTGACGTCGGCGTTATAGCCCAGGAGCGCCTTGACCATCTCAGGCCGTGTGCTCCAGCAGGCGGCCGCCAATGGACTTCGGCCCTCGCGCCCCTTCAACTTCAGCAAGACCGGCGCGTGGGCGCTGTTTCGCATGAGCAGCTCAACGACTGCCACGTGCCCGGCCTCCGCGGCCAGCCATAGCGCCGTGTTGCCCTCGTCGTCCCTATAGTGCGGGTCTCCGCCGGCCAGCAGCAGCGCCGAGGCCGTCTCGGCCTTGCCCTGGGCGGCCGCAAACATCAGCGGGGTGACACCGTGTTGGTCGCGCTGGTTCACCTTAGCTCCCTTCATCAGCAACGCCTGCACAGCCTCCACCAGACCAGTCTCTACTGCCAGGAACAAAGGACTGCGCTCACTCTTGCCGGGGTGGTTGATATTGTTGAAGGAATGGCCCACAAGCGAACCCATCACAGAGATGCAGCCGCCCTCCGCTGCATAGTGCATTGCCTGATTCCCAGCTGCGTCTGTGTGATTCAACGGAACACCTTCTTGCATCAGCTTCTCCACAACCTTTGGAAGGCAACTGTGCGAGGCCATCTGAAGTGCATTCACGTGCTTGCTGTTGGTGGCATTCAAATCTGCCCCACTCTGCATGAACTTGAGAGCAAGCTCGCTGCAGTTGCTTTGGATGGAGAGCAAAAAGGGTGTGTTGTCATCAGCCGCTCGGATGTTGACGTTGGCGGCGGCGGAAAGCAATGCGTTTGCCATGCGCACATCACACTGTTCAGCTGCACAAGTCAGAGGTGTTTGACCTTCGAATTCGCTGTTGGGGTTGCCTCCATGTTGAAGCAAGAGTTGAAGCATCTTGGGGTCCTTGTAATGGCAGGCCTCCACAACTACAAGTTCTTCCGAAGCTTGCGCGCCAGCCTTCAAAAGCTCCTCCGTAGCCATGTAGGCTTGGTTGCTGGCCGCAACTCTCAAAGGATTCCCCGTTGCACACATTTTCCACAGAGCTGAAAGGCTCCTCTGCGCGATTTCCGCCACAACTTGGGCCTCGTCATCCTCAGCGGCCCGGCACATGACCTCATCCCAGCTTGCCAAGGCATCGCCGGAGATGGAACGCCGGAAGCTATCTGCCGAGCTCTCGAAGAAGGACAAGAACTCCCCAGTGCTGACATTCGCTGAATGCCGAGGCTTCATAAGAGCAGCCATGGCGAAAATTGCCACTGTGGCCAAGCCAAGGAATAGCTTCTGGCCAGCGGAAACGCGCTGCTCACGTCGACTTGGCGGCACCTCCGCCAACAATCCCCTGCTCTGCTCAAGATCCATGCCGCTTGGGCTCGACATCACGCAAAATGGAGGCGCTTGAGTTCAATCATCGCTAGCAACACACACACACACACACACACACACACGATGCATGCTCAATGATTGGGCAAATGGCAGAGATTCTACATGCAACTTCCGCAAAGCTCAAGTCTTCGGCCCCATCGCCCAACAACAAGCTCACCCAAGCCGAACATGGCAGCTGTGACTGGCGCCGGTCCTGCCGCCAAGGCTGCAAAGGCGCCGTAAGCCTCACAATCCACTTGGTGAGCTCATGGTGCTCAAATGGGTGTGGGCCTAAACCCCGCCATTGAACGGCGTTCTGTTCAATAGGTATTGAACGGCAGCACTTGTTCAATAGGTATTGAATGAAAGCTGCAACGGCTGCAATAGAAAATGCATGTGCATCCCACGACGCCGGCGCCAAGCTAGCGCCACGAGTAGTAGTAGTAGTAGTAGTAGTAGTAGTAGTAGTAGTAGTAGTAGTAGTAGCAGCAGTAGTAGCAGCAGTACTAGTAGTACAAATAGTAGTAGTAGTAGCAGCAATAGTAGTAGTAGTAGTAGTAGTAGTAGTAGTAGTAGTAGTAGTAGTAGTAGTAGTAGTAGTAGTAGTACGGCCAGCACTTGTGGTTTGCCGGGTGACTTTTTTGAGGGGGGGCCTCACGCTCTCCCGCCAGCGTTTCAGCACCAAACCAAAACCCTAAACCGAGGGCTAGTTAAGCCAACAGCTGGACAGACACCGGAAAGTGCAATAGAGTGGTTCTGGGCGAACCACACGTGCTGCGGGTAGTAGTAGTAGTCGTAGTAGTAGTAGTAGTAGTAGTAGTAGTAGCAGTAGCAGTAGCAGTAGCAGTAGCAGTAGCAGTAGCAGCAGCAGTAGCAGCAGCAGCAGTAGTTGTCGTAGTAGTAGGAATAGGAGTAGCCGTAGTCAAAGGAAGTTTAGGAGGAAGTTCCGTAGTACGGAAACTCATTCACATGTAGCTTGACGTGGATAGATAGAATCAGAAGATGAGATAGCGCGTGCGTATGCAGACTTATGCAGATATTGCACGCAGATAAGATGAAGAAAGAATGAACGCATGCGAGAAACATGCGTGGGCGTGCGGCAGTGGAATAGAAGTCGCGAAAAAGAGTGACCCTCTGCAGGTTTCGGCGGGTGTGCGTCGATGTCAACCACCTCTGTCTCGACGCCTGTGCGGCGCGGGTGCGGCGCGGGTGCGGCGCAGGTGCGGAGCGGCCCCGGCGCCTGGCCCTCTGTAACGGCAACGCACCAGGTTTCGCATGGTTTGGATTGCGTGGCAGGCGCAGCTTTGGCAAGGTCAGGTGCAGATTTCGCGGCAGGCGCAGCACTTTCGTAAGGTCAGGTACAGATTTCGTGGCAGGCGCAACACTTTGGCAAGGGAGAAAGAGAAAGACAAAGAGAAGAGAAAGAGAAGAGCGAAAGAGAAGAGAAAGGAAAAGAGAAAGAGAAGAGAGAAAGAGAAGAGAGAAAGAGAAGAGAGAAAGAGAAGAGAGAAAGAGAAGAGAGACAGAGAAAAAGAAAGAGAAAGGGAAGGAGAAAGAGAGATAGAAATCAAAAAGAAATAGAAAAAGAAGGGCCAGAGAGAAAGATAAAGAGAAAGAGAAAGAGCAAGAGAAAGTGAAGAGCGCAAGAGAAGAGAAAGGAAAAGAGAAAGAGAAAGAGAAAGATAAAGAGAAAGAGAAAGACAAAAGAAAGAGAGAAATGCCTGCGGCGGCTTGCAATCACAGGCGGCCCGCCAAACAGCAGGAAACAACCGAACAAAAAAGAATATCGCGAGGGCGGGACACCGGGCACGCAAACCCAACGGGCTGCTCGGGAGCGAGAAGACAAATCTCTTAAAATCTGTGATGGACCAAGGGGTATGAACGACTGGTATTGAACAGTGTACTGGACGAACCTGTTCACTACCTATCGAACGGGGTATTGAACGGCAGGGTAACCCCTTCGTAGCCCAATACAGGGGGGTTTTGACTCACAGCCAAATGCAACTCGCCGAAGCTGTTGGCTTTTGATTGAGCGTTGCTCGGCGGAGGAAACCCAAACCAGCACCATGTGCGCCTGCCCGGGCGCTGCCAAGGCCGCCCCATGCGGTGGCAAGGCAAACCTCGTGGTATGGAGGCTACAGGCTACCGCCTTACCGAAGGACCTTCAAAGTCCGCACAGCCGCGGATCTTATGCTGCTCATGTTCACAAATACAGATTTGGGAGGCAGGCGCATCTCTGCAAAACTGGAAGCAGCAAGTCCCAACACCAATCAAGCCAATCCTAGACAAGGAGCAATAGAACAGTAGACCAACACTTATGTGAATGCTCGACTGAACCTGGAACATTGCCACCGACAAAATTGAATCACATGAGTCTAGGTGCCATACAAATGGCTGGCAAGCGCCAGTAGTCGCGCAAGAAGTTGAGGCTTCTCCTTTCGGTAGCATGCTCCGCAGCAGTTCCATTCTATGAGGCGCACGATTTCGTGTCAAAAGCCCAGCAAGTTGCAGGCCCTTGGCCAAGCCAACATCTATCCAAGCAAGTCCTGGAGCTTGGCGCCTCCCCACCTCTGTCCCACTGCCCCACCCCCGCGGTCCATGAGTTCTGCGAGATTGCGCATGCTGCGATGGAGCTGGTGGGTCAGGCCTCAGGCCGGCGCCTTGCCTCTGCAACTCACGGCAAGCAGCGGCTCTTTTTTTGCTTTTTCGGGCTCGCAGCTTTGCGGTTTCTTCGCTGTGAAACACGTTTGGTGCCTCAAAGACGCCGCTGCAGCGCAAGGCCAATTGCGGTGCCCAAGGAGAGCCTGAGATGAGCCACGAGATTCAGGTGTGATCTCTCTGGGCCGCGAGTACACGTGTGGGAATATGCACCCGGCGTACTGGAGCTGCGTCTATGGTGAGCGGCCACCCTCCCACGTCCCCACTTGCCCCTGACCCCCTGCCGAGATGCCCAAGCACTAGGCCAATGAGACCATCCTGCAACATGCTTGGCTGATGATTTCAACCTCTTGCAAAATCCGTCCGCCTCTCCACAACAGGCTGCACCACTCTCCACACGTCACAATATGTTGTGCATTGTGTTCAAGCCAAGTACGTCTGCATTCCCTTTAACAAAGTTGAAATCTTCCGCACCCTGATTCGCTTTACCATTGGAGTTGCAAGGTTGCTCTCCAGCAAGGGACCAGCATACAGGAGCAACTGTGCTCGTTCCAGCAAAACAAATTGTTGGATACTTGCAAAAGGATTCAAAGGGAGTGCCTCCTTCGCCGCACAGCGAACAGTCCTTGGACGGCGTCCTAGCCACCACTGCGCTTCCCACGCGAAGACGCGCTGAGGCCACATCACCCCCGGCAACCTGGTGGGCCAGATTTGTCACGCATTGAGGAATCTGGCAGTCTGTCGCTTGTAAGTCGAGACTTGCAAGGTTTGGCAAAAGACAGTTCAAGTTGTAAACCTACCTCAAACCACGTTCACTTGCCTCAGCTAGAACTTCCGTGATGTCGCGCTGCACGTGCCAGTGGCTATTAACAACACGTGGAAAAGATGAGCTCTTGGGCGAAGGCGCATCATTTCTGATTGGCACCGCATTTCAAGTCCTCCTATATGGCTCACTCTAGACATCCGCCAACGCGGGTTTCTTGCGTGTAGGTGGTGGAGGCCATCCTTTTCGCACTGACCCGCGGCCCAAATGCGCCGATGAAAAGACCAAAACCCACGGCAAATCCGAGCAAAGAGAACACAGCGAGAACACCAAAGGGAAAGGCCAGGGCCAGGCCGCACACACACACACAAAGAACATGGGATCATCCCGCCTTGGCAATTCTGGAAACGAGCTCTTTACGAGCAAGAGCCGGGATTTCAGGGATACTATGATACCCAGCTTGCCAAGGCGGGTCTGGAATGGAATGGATCTCTCGCTCCGCAATCCTTGCCAAAGCTGTCGGCTTTCGGGGCCTGCATTTTGGGCTCAACCCACAAAGTGTGCTTGCTTTCGCAAAGAGCCACTTTTGACTCGGACCGGGAGGGAAGCCTTAGCCACCCCCCCCGCCCCGTCTTCCAGGTCGGTCTGCATTTCGCTCAGTTTCGGCAATGCAGCTGATTTTTGTTTGAACCGTGTTGGGCCGTGAAATGACTCTGAATCAGAAAGCAGGCTTTTCCTCGGCCTCCTTCGTCATGTGCCTCTTGAACCTCCTTCGTCATGTGCCTCTTGCGGGACCCCCAACATCCCCAGCCTTGTCAGGTGACTATGGGTAGCTGTGCTCTTGGAGAATGAAGCTCTTCTTTCAGGTGCAATTTTCGGCGCCGGTTTCTGTTGCGAACGGGATGGCCTTCAAGCAAATGTTCAAGCACACAGTCGGATTCCCTTTAGATGCACCGCAGTGCAATAAAAAGGGTCTGATGCACCATTGCTTGTGCGTGCTGAAATCCACGCGGTTTTGGCGGGTGACAGGCATTGCAACGGGGCTATCCAGATCTTGCACACGCACGCACGAACGCACGCACATACGCCGCACGCCAAGTGTAGGTGTGCGCTCGGGCACCACTCTCAGGCGGGCGAGGCTGGATATGCGGTAGCTTGAAATGCAAAAGAAAAGCAAGCCACGAGACGGTCGAAAGATCCGGCAACGTACCTCCTCAACCACGCCGCCCAACAGCGTGCAAGAATACCAATGCTGGCCTCTTGCACCTTCTTCGAACCGTAGAAACCAATCCTGGGCCAAAGTGGCAGTGCACGCAATCGACATGTCATGCACTTGACTTAATGCGTGCTTTCTACTTTGAAAGCAAGTTATCAAAAAGGTTGCTGGTGTAGTGATCCGCAACTGACACTGGCAAGCAATGGAAAGTACTCTTTGTAGAAACACGATGTTGGGGGGCTTACAAATGAGCCAAACTCTTTGGAATGTCTGATCCCTCCTCCGACTGGGCCCCAACAAAGCTACGAGGACTGGGACATGTCGCCAGGAAAAGAAGTCCCGCCCAACGTGGCAGTGCGCCCATTTTTAAAATGGACACCGCTGAGACAGGATCGAGCAATCAGCATGATATTTGTAACGTGCGCAGCCATATTCTGTCAGGTCTGCTGCGTCCAGCTGAGCATCTGTTTGTCCAAATCCCCGAGCAGCGGATCCACACCTTCAATTGGTGCGCGTTGCCGAGGCATGCCGCGCCGGAACCGGAACTTGGCAAGAACATGCATCTGGCGCTGCATTGCAAGGGTCTCGCATTCAGAGAGCTTGGGCCAATTTGATTCCTAGCTCCATACCTGAGAGCTCTGGGACGGACCTTGTGCAACAGAAAGGGCTCCAAAGTGCGGACTCAACGCTGTGGAACGGTGCGAAGCCTGTTTCTGAAAGTTGGTCATCAACCTATTGAAACGTTACTCCATGGAAAGCTCTGCAGGTTTGTAGCACACCCGAGATTTGCACACATATGTACATACATACAGACATACATTACATACATACATACAAACAAACACTACACTACACTACACTACACTGCACTGCACTGCACTGCACTGCATTACATTGCATTGCATTGCATTGCATTGAGGTACATACATACATACATACATATATACATACATACTTTCATGCATGCATGCATGCACGCATGCATGCATCCATACATACATACATACATTACATACATACATACATACATGCATGCATACATACATTCCATACATACATACATACATACATACATACATACATACATACATACATACATACATAACATACATACATACATACATACATACATACATACATACATACATACATACATACATACATACATACATACATACATATACATACATACATACATACATACATACATACATACATACATACATACATACATACATACATACATACATACATACATACATTACATACATACATACATACATACATACATACATACATACATACATACATACATACATACATACATACATACATACATACATACATACATACATACATACATACATACATACATACATACATACATACATACATACATACATACATACATACATACATACATACATACATACATACATACATACATACATACATACATACATACATTACATACATACATACATACATACATACATACATACATACATACATACATACATACATACATACATACATACATACATACATACATACATACATACATACATACATACATACATACATACATACATACATACATACATACATACATACATACATACATACATACATACATACATACATACATACATACATACATACATACATACATACATACATACATACATACATACATACATACATACATACATACATACATACATACATACATACATACATACATACATACATACATACATACATACATACATACATACATACATACATACATACATACATACATACATACATACATACATACATACATACATACATACATACATACATACATACATACATACATACATACATACATACATACATACATACATACATACATACACATTACATTACATACATACATACATACATACATACATACATACATACATACATACATACATACATACATACATACATACATACATACATACATACATACATACATACATACATACATACATACATACATACATACATACATACATACATACATACATACATACATACATACATACATACATACATACATACATACATTACATACATACATACATACATACATACATACATACATACATACATACATACATACATACATACATACATACATACATACATACATACATACATACATACATTACCATACATACATACATACATACATACATACATACATACATACATACATACATACATACATACATACATACATACATACATACATACATACATACATACATACATACATACATACATACATACATACATACATACATACATACATACATACATACATACATACATACATACATACATACATACATACATACATACATTACATACATACATACATACATACATACATACATACATACATACATACATACATACATACATACATACATACATACATACATACATTACATACATTACATTACATACATACATACATACATACATACATACATACATACATACATACATACATACATACATACATACATACATACATACATACATACATACATACATACATACATACATACATACATACATACATACATACATACATACATACATACATACATACATACATACATACATACATACATACATACATACATACATACATGCATACATACATACATACATACATACATACATACATACATACATACATACATACATACATACATACATTACATACATTACATACATTACATACATTACATTACATTACATACATACATTACATACATACATTACATACATTTACAACATACATTACATACATACATACATACATTACATACATACATACATACATACATACATACATACATACATTACATACATACATACATACATACATACATACATACATACATACATTACATACATACATACATACATACATACATACATACATACATACATACATACATAC